ATGTGTTTGTAATGAAAGAAGAAACAAAATCTTGGAATAGACAGTTCAGTTTTCCAGCATGCCATTGTCCCCTGAATAATCCCTTGCAGTTCTCCATATATATTTCACTAAGAATGGACAAGTTTTGACAAAAGAATACAGCAGGGAGACGCAAGAAGGTGGCGAGACAGCAGTGTTATTTCTTTACAATCCCAAAGATGCAATGGTTAAGAAGATTGAAGTCCATGGCCTTTGCAAGTTTGCTATGATTCCATACGTTGAAAGCTTGGGCTCACCTCGTGTATCGGATGCTCGCCTAGGATAATAACTTATCGACAAGATTAACTGTGAAACAAATGCTTTTGTTTCATGACTGCCAAAGCTTCTTGGTTACCAGGCAGAACAAATGATGAGATAAAAACATAAAAAGTTTATGACTTCAGGAAGAACAAGTGGAGAATTCAGATATATAATAAAAATTTATTAAAAATAGTATTGAAAATATTAGTTTTTGGAAACTTCCAAACAAAATGGAAAACCTCAAACTTGTTTTACCAAAAAAAAAAAAAAGATTAATTATACCCCTTATGGACAATATGTTGCAGTCTGGTTTATAACAAAATGTGACACAGAAATTGCTGTAAAAAACATAAAAGAAAAAATATACGGATGAAAAGTGGGAGTTATAAACAAGAAAACTATGGCAGATGAAGTGAAACACTCAGCTCTCAGACTGCATTTCATTCTCTATCAACCCTAGAACTTCATGACTTCAAAAGCAACCAAGAAGCTTCTTTGGAGTCTGTCCAGTTGCTCTGTATTTTGCAGCCATCTCCTCTGCCTTGAGAACTTCTTCTCCTCGCTTGGCTTCGACCACTGCTTTCTTTTCTTCAGCTTCCTTGTGAATTAAAGCAACCTTATTTTTAATTTTCTCTGCATACTCTGCTTTCTTTTTCTCCAATTGTTCCTGCCAAATTGTAAGGTGTTTTTAATTTTTACTAACAATGGAAACAACACAGGAAAGTTAATTATAAGATTGGCACTGCCTATTACTTAATTGTGGATATTCTTTTGGGGAATCAATGAGAACTCAATGCATGCTTAATTGCATAAGACAGGAGTTTCAATGACTTTCGTGAAAGAGATCAGTTACCTCAGTTTTCCTTAATTGTGCTTCTAAAGCTGCTTTCTTGCTGTTCTCCCAAGCAACAACATCAGAGAGTTTCTTCTGAGCCCTGATCAAAAGTTTCAGATTCAGTAAAGTTGCATCAAACCAAATCTTTCAAGAATCACCGTAAAACTTCTTTATAAACTATAAGGTTAGATATCTGAGATTAATGTAAAGAAAATGGTGAACTCCATTTTTCAGGCAAGATATATATAATACTACAAAAGAAAATAAAGAGAAACCCTCACTTATTCTCTGCTTTTGTCTTTTCACTTTCTTCCCATGCCTTGATAAAGGACAACTTTTTTTCCTTCTCAACCTCTGCAAGAGCAATATCTGGAAAAAAAAAAAAAGAAAAAAGGAAATTAGATCCTTCTGTTCATCAGAAGCACATAATCTTAAACAGTACCCTTCTAAATGGCAACATCTACACAAAAGAAGTTCAAATGCTGTTGAAACAACACACCACAGTAATTGCAGCAGAGAGCAGAATAATGAAAATAATGTATTTACTTTAGTATAATAATTAATAAGTCAACCAGACATGCAAGCTCTATCAAAATACAGATAACAATCTCAGTGGAATCATTTCATATGCTAAGTAACATACAAAACAGTCATTGAATCTCCAATGAGCATTTGGCTGTCTGTCCTTTCTGAATGATACTCACACCACAGAAACAATAAATGAGAGGACCACATAAGTATCAGCCACACTTACCTCTATCATGTGATCCTCCTGAAATTTTCTTTGGTGCAGACTCTGGAGCCTCTGTGCAAGCACATAAATTATTAGATGAATGCTTTATTTTTAAGTATTGACACACCAGGGACTTAGCTTGATTAACAATCAAGCATAGTAATGAACTATAATACAATAAAGAGAAACTAGAAATGGATATTGGGAGAAAAACTTTCAAAGCATAATTCAAGTGAGAACTTCAGCTTAAACAGATAAGTAATCAAACTTCAGCTTAAATAGATATGCAAAAAAACTTCAGCTTTAATTGTATGTTGGAATGAAAGTCTATGGATAAAACCTTATAATTCATACCAGCTACATGGATGGAATTAATCATGGAAATGGACCAACAGTGCAATTACACCATAGAAACATCAAATTTACAAGGCAACCACAAAAATGAAAAAGATCAAACCTAAACATCACATTTACTTTTGTTCTAAAACTATGACCTAATGATCTACCAAGAAAATTCTTAATCATTTTTAATTGAACAATAAGACTCTGATACTTTTGAAGTTACTATCTAACCAACGTGATGATGAGGGAACAAGAAACGTCTTGGTCCCAGCACAACATATTTATTATATAGCATCAATTAAAGCATCATTATTGAACTCCACCAAGCGGCCTGATGAGCTACACGCGTCATTGAAGGAGGTGGGATGTTCACCAGATCTGAGATCGGATCCCAGTTACTAACAATTAATAAAACTAATTTACTAACCATTGCCTTGTAAAAAAAGAAAAAAAATTAAAGCATCATTATTCGACTTTATTGACAAAAAAATATATGCTAACTTTGACATTAGTGAGATAGGGGCCCCATAACTACTAAATAGGAAAAAAAAAATAGTGCAAAAAGCAGATCTGGAAGAATCCATTACTCCAAGAATTAAAGTAGCCCAATTTTCAATGTAGTCTTTAGCATCATTAATTTGACCAAATTTCAATCTCTGATCAAGTATATAGAAAACTTGTAGATAAAAGATAAAGGGTAATAAACAACTTTTAGCTTAATTACTGTAAGACTGTAATTAGATTAGGAAGAAGAACCAAAAGCAGCACTTCATACCAAAACCAGAAAATTGAAAGAAAAAAAATGAAAATTAGATTTTTACAACCTCTGATTGCTGAAAAAATCAGTTATGTTAGTTAACCAAATTAAAAAATCATCAGCAAAATTAGTAAATTTAACCATACCCATCTCAATTTTAAAAAAATTATTAAAATCCTTGAACTGTATATAAATTAACAAAACAAACACGCAGTCCTAATAGAGCTTAGATACCATAATTAACAAATGGAAATTACGATTATATTCATATATATATATGGCTTACTCTCTACTATAGCAAGAGCTTTGGATTCATCAGGCTTTGTTTCAGGTGGTGGAACGACTATTTTGTCCTCGACTACCGGTTTTGGTGGCCCAACCGGAGGTGGAGCCACGACGGGAGGTGGAGCCACGACGGGAGCTGGAGCCGGAGCAGGAGGGGGAGGTGCCGGTGCTTCCTCTTCCATCTTCTTTTGTGTCTCCGCCATTACTCAGAGCTGGAAAAAATTCTCGAACGGATAAAATAATAAGAGACAGTTTGGGCACAGCTCACTTGGTAGCGTCGCTATTTATAGACAATCCGAAGACGTGTTGCGAGTGGTGACGTGGATCGAGTGTAGCTGTATAAACAGTTGATTTGATCGATTAAAATTAAAAAAAAAAAGATAAATAGTTTAATCACCGTTGGTTTTGGTTATCATTTGAATCCAACGGTCAATTTCTTTGGTGGGTGGTGATCATGAGATGCTAATCCGAAAGCGACGCATGCCGACAGGTAAAGCGGTTGAACAGTGCCACGTATGTCGGTACGTATGATACGACGACGTAGAATTGATGTGGGCCCCACATCCATGTTTTTGTCTCTGGGCTGGGAGCTGGCTTACCAGCTCACCATGTGACTGTGGGGGTCCACAATTTAGACTGTTAGTCTGTTTGCAGTTGTATAAGGACGTGGATGATTTGCTGGCAAAAAAAATTTAAGGGGAATCGCTTTGGCAAAAACGCTTCTGAAGCCCTCAAATTTACCCTAAAATAGCCTTTAAGCCCTTAAACTAAAAATAAAGCATATAAGTCCTCTAACTCTATTAATAATGTAAATAAGCCATTCTCATTAATGGATGCTCATGCTTTTAAGGTGATATTAAACATAAAATACCATCTGATCAATTTGCGAGAAGGGCTTTGCATCGTTAGTGGAGTTAGAGAGTTTATTTGTTTTATTTTTAGTTTAGGGGTTTGAATGTTTTTTTTTTTTTATTAACTTCTCGATATCTGCTAATCACATTTGGTCCTGACTAATCAGGAATCGAGTCGCGTCAAACCTTATTAGGGGAGAAACTCTCTCAGCACCTGTTTCTCTATTTATAAAACTCGAACTCGAGATCTTATTTAAGGGGAATTGAATTCCTTCCACTTGGACCAACAGGTTGTTAGTGTTTAAATATTATTTTGTGATAAGTTTGGGGGCTTAACAAGAGTTTTGCCAATCGCCTTTTGTTTTTGTTTCAATTGTTTTTTTTAAGACAGAAGTTAAGATATTTTATGAATTTTTATTAATTTATATAAAAAATATAAAATAAAATTTATTTTTAATTAAATAATTAATAAAATTAAATTAATTTTTATTTTTATAATAATTAATAAAGCTATGTAATATATTTTTAACTTATATTTTAATAATGTAAATAAGCCCTTCTCATTCATGGATGCTCATGCTTTCAAGATGATATTAAACATAAAATACCGGCTAATCAATTTGTGAAAATGGCTTTGCATTGTTAGTGGAATTAGAGAGTTTATCTATTTTATTTTTAGTTTAGGGATTTAAATGTTTTTTTTTTATTAATTTCTCAGTATCCGGTAACCATATTGAATATCAACTAATCTGAAATTGAGTCACGTTGGACCTCATTAAAGGAGAAGCTCTCTCAACGTCTGTTTCTCCATTCACATGACTCGAACTTGAGATTTTATTTAAGAGAAATCGAGTTTCTTTTACTCGAAACAATAGATTGTTCGTATTTAAATGTTATTTTATGATAAGTGGGGGGCTTAACAAGAGTTTTGCCGCCTTTTGTTAAAGTTAAGATATTTTATGAATTTTTATTAATTTATATAAAAAATATAAGATAAATTTTATTTATAATTAAATAATTAATAAAATTAAAATTAATTTTTATTTTTTATAATAATTAATAAAACTATATAATATATTTTTAACTTATTCATTATCTTTACCTTTAAAATTTAGAAAGCATCTTTTTTTGCTTAATTTTATATTATTTTGTTGCTTAGAATTGTTTCCTAATGGTGTTAATTAATATTTTGGTTTTTAAAGCTTATTTTCTAGAATGGCATCCAGCCTAAATTAGGTGTGCGCAATTAACTTTTTAGGTGTATCCAATTAGTTCACGCTTTACAGACGGCGCAAGCAAAA